ACTATCTTTTTCATGTAGGTCCAAGTTATCCTTTGCAAATATTTTGAAATATACAAAAGAACTTTTGACCACTTTTGATAGCACTCTTATAACTTAAGTACTTCACAAAACAAATATAGCATATCTGATCATAAAACTTATAAAACATTGTAAATAATAAGATTATGCAAAACTTGACATTACGATACAAATGATTCTTTGAGAAGAATTGAGATAATCTTATTTATAATATTTACAACAATGAAAAATTTACAAGTAAAAAACTGATCAAGCTATAAACGAGTTTGAAATTATTGATAATAGAGGCGAAGATGTTTAGCATTTGAAGCTCGCAATATTTCAGAACTGTTAAGCTTTTTGAGGCGATACGTTCCAAGTCGTACCACTTTTGCAACGTGATATGGGCCTTCACAATTAGGTCCCAATACCTACGTATTTGGTTCTTTTGTACCGAGAATGACTTCTTTTAACATTAGGTTGCCAACTTGGAAGTCTCTTCTCCTTACTTTAGAGTTGAAAAATCTTTTAGCCCGCTGCTGGTAGGAAGCTATCCTTAACCGAGCCTTGTCGCTGTGTTCTTTAACTAAGTCCAGACTTGCATGTAAGAATGCTTCATTGTCTGTTCCATTGTAAAATTCTCTCTGAAGTGAAACAACTCCTACTTCCATTAGTAGGGGTGAGCGGCTCTAGGTACCCTGCATTTTTCGGGCGAATCGAAATCGAAATCGCACAGTGCAGATTCCCAGAAAAAGGAACCAGAATAGCATAGTGTAGGTTCTTAAATTCAAGGAATTGGAACCTAAAATGCAGGTTCCGGTTCCTTTCCCGGGTACCCTGTAAAAAATCAATTACCCCACTATTAGTTTAAAAATGACAAAAATACCTTATAAATTTACAACTACACCCCTAACAAATTTTGATTACTCATTCATTTGTATCCAATGTGACTCATAAATCCTCTAATCTCTAGGCAATACTTGAATTTAATCAATTCATCGCAATTCATATAAAATTCCTCAATCAAAACCAAAACACAAATAATTAATTAAATTAATTAAACAATCATACTATAAATCTATAATTTAATATTATAATTAATTAAATTTCTAATCATTTAATTAAGTCTTGTACTAATGTTTATAATTGAATATTATAATTAATTAAGTAATCATACTATAAATCTATAATGTAATGTTATAATTAATTAAATTTTTAATCATTTAATTAAGTAATATACTAATATAGTAAGTTACTAATGTCTATAATGTAATGTTATAAATTTATAATTAATTAAGTAATCATTTAATTATGTAATGTTATAATTAATTAAGTGATTATAATATAATGTAATATTATTATTAATTAAGTAATTATTTAATTATAATGTAATATTTTAATTAATTAAATTTTTAATCATTTAATTAAGTATTGTACTAATGTTTATAATATAATATTATAATTAATTAAATAATCATTTAATTAAGTAATCATACTATAAATTTATAATGTAATGTTATAATTAATTAAATTTCTAATCATTCAATTAGGTATTGTGCTTATTAATGTTTATAATATAACGTCATAATTAATTAAGTAATCATTTCATTATGTAATGTTATAGTTAATTATATGATCATACTATAATATAATGTTATAATGAATTAAGTAATCATATTATAAATCTTTAATATAATATTATAATTGATTAAATTTCTAATTATTTAATTAAGTATTATACTAATGTTTATAATTGAATGTTATAATTAATTAAATAATCATATTATAAATTTATAATATAATGTTATAATTAATTAAATTTCTAATCATTTAATTAAGTATTATGCTAATGTAATAAATTACTAATGTTTATAATATAATGATATAATTAATTAAATAATCATACCATAAATTTTTAATATAATATTATAATTAATTAAATTTTTAATCATTTAATTAAGTATTGTACTAATGTTTATAATGGAATGTTATAATTAATTAAGTAATCATTTGTTTATAATGTAATGTTATAATTAATTAAATTTCTAACTATCTAATTAAGTAATATACTAAATTATTAATGCAATATTATAAACTCATAATTAATTAAGTAATCATTTAACTGTAATGTAATGTTATAATTGATTAAGTAATCATTTAACTAATAATGTATTAATGTTTATCAATTTATTTTATATAATTAATTAATTACTAATTTATTACAGATATACTTCAAACTTGATAATTGAAGTAAATAACAACATATTATATTATTATTCAAGCAAATATACTATTTTATTCAAAAATAATTCTTTTAATAACATTGAAATACTTTTAATTGGTCCAAATTCCAATTATACACTTAATTAATCAAAAATTTAATATTAATATATTAAAGTTTTTTATATAGTGTAGTTTATATGTAATAAGTATAATTGTATATTTATTTAATTAGGTTATTGTAAAAATTTAACTTTTTTCCATTTTAATTTGTTTATATGTAAAATTATAATTGACCCCCCATTCTTCACATATATTTAATTCAGCCCAGGTTCCAAAACAGGGTACTCGCTACAAGTTCCAAGCAAGTTCCAAGCTGAGTACCCCTTGCCAATTTTGGTTTCGATTCTGGTTCCTTCTGCTGGTTCCGGTTCTACCCGCTACACGTGCTCACCCCTATCTACTAGAACCATTGCCTCGCAACCATATGTCAGTGAGAAGGGTGTTTCTGAAGTAGAGGTTCTCAGAGTCGTTATATATGTCTATAGAACTTTTGGGAGATCATCGGCCTAACTATTTTTGGTTGCGCCAAGTTTGGCCTTCAATGTGTGCTTGATAGTCTTATTGATAGCTTCAACTTGACCATTAGCTTGCAGTCTTGCTATTGAGACGAAATTTTTATTTATCCCCAACTCTTCGTAAAACTGCTTGAATTTCTCATTATTGAACTATTTCCCGTTATAAAAAATGATTGTATGAGGAATCTCATAGTGACACACTATATTCTTGAAGACGAAGTCTTTGAGCTTCTTTGTAGTGATCGCAGCCAAAGGTTCTGCTTCGACCCACTTAGTGAAATAATCCACTGCGATCACTGCATATTTGATGCCACCTTTACCGGTTGGCATGGGTCTGATGAGATCAATTCCCCACATAGAAAATGGCCAAGGACTAGTCATCGTTGTTAACTAGTGGGAAGGAGCTCACGGGATATTTGTGAATCTCTGACACTTATCACATTTCTTCACAAAGTTGAAGGCATCTTCATGAAGTAGGGGCCAATAGTATCCCTGGTGGATAATTTTATTGGCGAGAGACTGTACGACAATGTGATTACCACAGATTCCTTTATGTATCTCTCTCATGATATAGTCTACTTCATCATTTGTTACACATCAGAGGAGGGGGTACAAGTAATCTCCAATGAGAGTGTAACGAGCAACTCTAGTTCGCAAGAGTCTTGCCTTAGTCTTGTTGTTAGGAAGAACCTCATCTCTGAGATACTGAATAATCAGAGTCATCTAGGAAATGGATTCAGTTGTGGCTACGACCTGATCAGGTGAGCTGATGTTGGGAACTTTGATGTACTTGATTAGAATACTATCTAGAGCATTAGAGTCCAACGATAAGGCTATTTTTGCCAAAGCATCCGCGATAAAATTGTTATCTCTCGGGATTTGTTTGATCGTATAATGCTTGAAAGGCTTGAGTTCGGCATTGACTTTCTTCAAACAACTGATCATATTCTCTTCTTTGGCTTGATACTCTCCCAGAATCTGGTTGACAACCAGCTGGGAGTCGCTATTGATGTCGATCATATTTGACCCCATTTCTCTTGCTAGTCGCAAACTAGAAAATAACGTTTCATATTCTGTCTCCCTCAAGGCTAATGAGTAAAAGACCAACTCTGACTCTTCTCTAGTTTGAAAACCCATCAATGTAAGACTCCAAGTTGACAAGTTCCAAACAGTTTCCTATACAACTTCACTAGCTGGCTGTTTGGATTCTCGATCAAGCTGATAAAAGAACTTCAAAATAAAATCAGCAACAACCTGCCCTTTGAATGCTACTTTCGGTCTATAATGCAGATCGAACTAGCTTAGTTCCATAGCCCATTTGAGCAACTTACTTGAAGCCTCTAGCTTCTGAAGGACCTACATGAGTGGGTAGTTGGTTAATACATGAATGGTGTGGGCATGGAAGTAAGGTCACAGCTTCTTGAAAATGATCATCAAGGCATAAGCTAATCGTTCCATCTTTGGATACTGTGTTTCAGCATCCAGTAGTTGTTTGCTCATGTAATACATTGGCCACTGGATTCTGTCCTCTTTCCGAATGAGAACTGCGCTGACCACATACTAAGAGACTGACAGATAGAGAAATAAGATTTCATTGGAAAGAGGCTTGGATAGAAGAGGTGGTTTTTCGAGATGCTCTTTTATGCTCTGGAAGGCTCGCTCACACTCTAGAGTCCATTCAAATCTATTGTTGGCCTTGAGTATATTGAAGAATGGCAAATAACGATCTATTACCCTCGATATGAGGAGACTGAGAGCCGCTATTCTCCCATTCAAGCTCTGAACTTGCTTTCGATTGGCGAGACTTTTCATATCTAAGAGAGCTTGGATCTTCTCGGGGTTGACTTCAATTCCCTACTAGTTAACCATATACCCCAGGAATTTCCCTAAGGATACTCCAAATGAACACTTAAGATGATTAAGTTTCATTCAATATCTCTAGAGTATATCAAATAATTCCGCAAGGTTAGCTATGTGATCTGAAGCGACATGCAATTTGACCAGCATGTCATCGATGTAGACCTTTATTGATTTCTTGATCTGTTCTGAAAACATACGGTTAACCAAATACTGGTAGGTTGCCCCAACGTTCTTCAGACCGAAGGGCATGACTTTGTAGTAGTACAATCCTTGATTTGTAATAAACGAGGTACGCATCTCATCGGGCATGTATATCAGGATCTGAGTATACCCCAAGTAGGCATCCTAGGCATCCATGAAACTTAACAACTCGTGCTCGAAAGTGGCATCAACGAGCTGATCGATTATAGGCAAAAGGAAACTCTCTTTCGAACAAGCTTTGTTGAGATCTGTGAAATCAACACATGTTTGCCACTTGCCGTTGGGTTTCTTCACCAAAACAAGATTGGTGACCCAACTCGAGTAATGAGCCACCCGAATGAACCCAAGTGAGAGGAGCTTATCCACCTCAACCTTAAGAGCAACATAACACTCTAGGTCTATGACTCTTCTTTTTTGGCGAACTGGCATGACCTCACTATCGATATTGAGGGCATGCCATATTACATTCGGGCTAATCCCGACCATGTCAGCATGAGTCTATGCAAAAACATTTATATTCTGTCTAAGGAAGCTCTTTAAATTAGTAGCGAGCTGAGGGTTGAGATTACTTTCGATTCTCAACACACAAGTAGGCTCAGTCTGATTTACTGATACCTTAGATAGAGTCTCAACAAGCCCACTGTGGGAATACTCTTCCTGAACACGAGGATCTATGCTGTCTTCCACTAGACCTGGTTGTGGTTTGATCCTACTGATCGCCATAGTCTGCTTGGGAATGCCCACTGGCTTTCCTTTCCCTTTGTATGCCATCTGCACTGCTCTTACATAGCAGTCGTGAGATTCACGCTGAGACCCCTTAACTTCCCCACACCCTGTTGGAGTGGGAAATCTAATCTTCAAATGATAGATAGAGGTGACAACTTTGAAGTTCCAGCGTAGAGGTCGTCCTAATATGCCATTGAAAGTGGATAGACAGTCTACTACAAGAAATTTTGTCATCTTGGTCACTTCGTGAGTCTCACCCAAAGTGGCGGGAAGTGTAATCGTTCCCTTGGGAATCAAATGATCCATAGTACAGCCATAGAGGGGGATAGAGGTAGGCTTCAGATCTGCCTCTTCCAACTGCATTTCCTCAAATGCTCACTGAAATAGGATGCTCACGATGCTCCCATTATCCACAAACATTCTGTGGACCTTGCACCGACATATTTCAGCCGCGATGACGAGTGCATCTTCATGAGGATGATGCAATCACACTGCGTATTTCTCTAAAAAGCCAATCTCCTTATCTCTACGCATTTTAGTAGGTCGCGACGCTATGTTTAATACATTCATGGGATCATGACGAGCTTCTCGAGCGTACTTTTCTTGAGTACCTCGAGAATTCCCTACGAGATGTGGTCCTCCAAATATAATCCCCATGAAATAGAGACCCTTACGACCATGATGCTTCTTCCTATCGTCCTCTTGATCCTTCTCCCGAATGGGAGTTAGACCATTAACATACTCCTTGAAGTACCCATTTTTAATAAGGTCTTCAATAGTTTGCTTAAGAGCTCGATATTCATCGTTATGGTGCCTATAATCTTGATGATAATGGCAATACTTATTGCTGTTTCTTATAGAAGAGAAATTTTTCATGGGCTCTGGCTCTTCGAGTAGATTAGCTTCTTCTGATTTATCCAAAATAGCTAATACCGATGTATTCAATGGACTATACTGATTCTTGTCATGATCACGACGAGGGACTTGGGCATAAGATTTCTTGGGCTCAAACCTCTGTTTCTTTCCCTTTCTCAAATTGTCATTAGCCCACTAGCGATCAAATCTTCTACTATTCTCTCCATAGTTTTCCTCCCTCTGACTGGGAACATTGGTTAAAGGATTGGGGTCGTGGTGATTCAAAGCAGCCATGGAATTTTCAATTCTGAGATATTTCTTAGTGAGGTTGTAGAAGCGAATGAAGGAAATATCATCCTCAGATTGCAATTTCTTCCACAGGTTGATTTGCGGGTAAACTCCTGCAATAATAAGAGTTTGAACTGAATCTTCGGGTGTATTAGCCACCTTATTCAGCTCCTTGTGGAACCTGTCAATGTAGGATTAGAGGGATTCATTCCTTTCTTACTGTATGTTGCTCAGATAGCTCAACGACATTAAGAACTTCCTATTAGCCTAGAAGTGTCTCAAAAATAATGAACTCATCTGCTGCCACAAGTTGATAGAACTTGGCGGAAGCGATCTAAACCAACGCTTAGCATGGGCAGTCAGAATCACTGCTAAGTAGCGACATTTTGCCAAGTTGGAACCTTGGTGAAGCTCCATGAGGTCGTTAAACTAATAGAGATGATCCTGCAGATCATAATTCTCACTAATAGAGATGATCCTGCAGATCATAATTCTCATTGAATGCTCGCATATTAGGCATTCTAAATCTTGACGGGAGAGGAGCAGTCAAAATTGTTGGAGAAAAGGGAAAGGCCCCAGTGACTTGCCCTCACTCATTCTACTGAGCTCTAAGTTGATCTAGAACTCGTTGTAACTCGTTGATCTGAGGAAGCGGAGCCATTTGGGGATCACTTTTTGCAATGTGGGTTCGCTCCCCACGATTGCGATTAAGGAAATATCGCATATCGAACTCTTTCATGCCTCGGCCAGAGCCTTCGACATACCTTGGCATATGTTGGTTAGAGCCATGTGAAGACACTGAATGGCTTGGGGAGTTATCCCAACCTTTGCTGTGGTTAGAACCGACCTGCATATGGTGGGTGTTTCCCTCACGGTAATTGTTGAAACCATCATTCCGGCGATGATGGGAATCCCTATGCCGTGCACTCTTGCGGGGGTGCCCATGCGATGTGGCATGAGATGGCTTATGTTGTGATATACCGCTAAGTCACAAAGCTACAAGTATTCTACCTGCTTCACGACATGAGCCATTTGTTTTCCCTTCGAGCCTTTTGGCCCATTGTCAGTCACCTGTTTTCCCTTATTCTTATGCACTGCAATGTGCGTGGTATGAGTTTTCGCCCGTTCCACGCTTTAACATGATCTACATGTGTTTTTGGAGATGGTACCGCCTTGTCAGAATTGGGCAATATGACCTGATCCAAACAATCTAACTTTTGGCCAACTGTTTGGAGAGTATTATTGAACCTCTTCAAGTAATTCATCACAAGTGGATCGAGCTGAGAGGTCGAGGGGATATTCGTCGTAGTACGTTGGGGGACTGGAGGTACTTCGGGAAAAGTAACATCCTGTACCCGGGGGATCTCCTCATTGTTGGTGCTAGTTCTCTCGGTATCAAGACCATGAGCCATTTGTTCAAAAGTAGAACAGACTGATCACAGACTTTGAATGAAGAGCAGATATAAAATCAAGCCCTTCCTCTAACACCAAACTATTGATGCGTGATTTTGACACCAACGACTCGCACGTGCAAAGTGCTAAGCTGTTCTTAGAAATTACACGTAAATGATTATGAGAGAGCTAATCAATATAATCAAATACAAAGAGTGAACAATAAATGAGAGAGATGATTTTTAAAGTGGTTCAGATGCTTAAAGTGAATCCTACGTCTACTGTTTCTTTTATATATGAAAGATTACAAGAGGTCGCGTATAGCGAACATCAAATAGAGGTATAATAACTGAGTATTTAGAGAGAATATCAAGTCAGTCTCTTTCTTGTAGGTTATCATTACTCTGAAAATAAAGATTTCCAATTACAATGAGGGTTCAGTATCAGAATTCCGAAAATGAGAGGGAGAATCCTTTATTTATAGTAGAGGAATTCAAGGTAATGATTACAAATCTGCAAGTGGGTAGGTGCCGTGCAAGTCCTTGCTTACCTCCCATTGGCTGATAACTTAGGACATATCCTGAAATTATCTAGGGTTTGGACAAGTGTGTGGTCCTTAGTTACTCATAGACAAAACCTGAATCTGATAAGCTGATGACAGCCGTATTCTTTTTGTCTTGGATCGATGTGGCAGCACCTGGACAGCGCAAAGTCTGCTTGAACTCTGATTAGTGCTTGCTGATGTAAGCTTACATCAGCCTTGATTTTTTTAGGCATAACAGAATGGAACACTAATATCTTTATAATTAAAATACACTTTGTAAAAACTTATGGACCTCTTTGATTCTTTCACTAAATATCAAGGGTATTCAATAAATTTGAGATTTGGTTAAAATTTAAGATTGCCTTGCCTTTTATACCAATGATTATCTTAACGATGAATTAAGTACTCTTTTATTATTATTGTTGTTGTTATTTTAAATATAGATTTAATCAATTCATCATCATAATTTTAAAGATAAATTCAATATATTAAATACGAAATTAATATGTTTATACTATAAATTTCATGAGATATGAATTACTATATAGAGAGATTATTTTCATGATATTTTTAATTAATTATTGATTCACCAAATGCCTATTAAGATTCCAATTGAGATTTGAGATCCCATTTGAAATTGCAATCGTAATTAATCGACAAAATAATACTTTTTGTTTATCCATAAAAAAAAAAAAAAAAAGATGTATCTTTTAAAACCATAATCTTTCTTTGATATCTAACACAATGCGTGGAAGAATAGTCGAACAACCATAATATGTGAACAAAATAAAAAGCATTGGCCAAGACTTAGAAATATTCTTATAATTTTTTTTTTTTTTGTACGGTAATTGGTGGCCATCTCTTACCCTTGCTACAACTTGAACTCAAGGGTCAAGACTCTTTAGTCTTTTTAACTCCTCAATCCATCATTCACTCTAAATATTCTTATAATTTATGTACAAAGTTTATTACTCTTGTAGTGCACTTTTAAAGGTATTTAAAAAAAATCTTGATCGATAATTTTTGTATATTCTTAAACAGTAAAATAACAAATAAATTAATTGCTAATCTTTTTGTCTGGCCTAAGAGTAAAAAGGAAAGGAGGGTTCTTTTATTAAATAAATGGAAAAAGTGATGCCATTATGTTAATTAAAAAATAGGAAGGTGGAAAAGTTAAGAAGATCCAACCAAAGAAATGATTAAAATTTGTAAACATTGAGTTGAGATATTAAGAAATTTGTTTTTTATGTGTAAAATAATGAATGTTTAGTACAATTGCATAATGGATTGTTGATTGGAAAGCATGGAGAATCGAAATATAGATTGAACTGAAAATGGTCAAGACAAGCACAATAAACAGCTATAATTTGTCGCCAAACACGTGTTGTAACAGTAACAGACAAGCGTGGCGTGGGGTAGCCATCAACTAATGATTCCAACGCGATTGCATTAGGATCCGTCCATATATCAGTTATCACTTATCACCACAATGGAGGCTTTTAATTCTTCAAATAATATTAAACTAAAAGGTAGGAAGGAAATTTGATAGTATTTATTAACTATTCATTAACTGTTCATTACTGATAAAAAGATATGTGTTATTACATTATAACTCATCCCTCACATAATAAGCCAGCCCAGTGGACTGGAATATGTGAAGTAACGGCCCAAGGATTTCTGTCCCAAAACCATGAGAGGCCTAGCCATTATTGGGTCAACCTAATGAAAACCATGAGAGGCCTAGCCATTGCTGGGTCAACCTAATGAAAACCATGAGAGGCCTAGCCATTATTGGGTCAACCTAATGAAAAAGAATTCACCATTTAAGAATGATAAAAGAATTCATTATTGAAGGTACAGACAATAAACCATGAGAGACATATGGACCATATGGTTGAGCACTTGAGGTAAATATAAGTATGGTGAGGATCTGTTTCCAATTCAAACAGACAATAAACCTGTTAGAAGCCATATCTTTAAATAGAGAAGGAAATCATTGCAGAAAACCAAACCATGAACTCAAAAATAAATAGATCAAGATGAAGAAACAGGGGAAGCATTATCGAAAGTAGTTCCCACATGCTGAATTACGAACCCATAGATCTTTCTCTTTAACTGCTCAATCTTTGCAATGAGTATACCATCCTTGCTTGAAACCTCATGGTCCAACCATTCATTCACAAGCTTCAACTGCGACAGAACTGCTGCAATAGAACCACAATCCATAGGAAGAGTTACACTTCCATTAATTGCACACTCTCCAAATACCCGGAAACCAGCATCG